CCTGTTGCCCGTATCAGACGGTATAACTTACGATGATTACCAATGGCAGCGGCTGTTTCCATCTCAGATGCACGATGAGACCACCAGGTTTCGCGGTCCTTCTTTAGGCTAGCACGTAGTTTCGCCCTGAGATTTTTGCGAGATTCATTGTATTCGCTTCCAGCCGGAATACGTCGGCGAGCATCCATAAGTTCCAGAGACTGTGTAGAGACCCAATGTCCGGTTTGGCAATTTGTTTTGCCACATGAAGACATGCCTGCTAATAGCAACGCTTGACGAGTGTGCGACCAGTGATCTTCAACGGTGTTTAGTGGGCGCTTACTCAGCCCAGATGTCAGCGCATCTTGGTACACATTCAGAATATCTGGCTTCGCCAGCTGGCTAGTGTCAATCCGTTCACATCGACGTTGCGGACGTCCACCGAAGCGCATCAGGAGGTCGGCACAGAGAAGTGCGTGGTCAGAGTCCACGCTCGTGCTCCACATCGAGCGACAGTTTTGGACACAGCCTCTCCAGCGGTAACTGATCGCGATATGATCGATTTGCGTCCATGACTGGCCCGAGGCTGGTGGCCGCCAAGTCACACTTCTGCGGGTGCTGTGTCGAAAATTAGTGCTCGCGAGAAACAGGCGAGCATCTTCACACAGCTGGAGCAATCGCTCACCATTATCATTACGGGAGCCTACACCATGTTGGCCGCCCAGATGAAGCTCATCAGAGGACAATTTTCCGACTTGGGCGTTTAGATCGCCAGCCAGCACCACAGTATCCGTGCTTCTTCTGTAACGAAGGAGCTCGTGAAGTTGCTGGTAGAAATCACCTTTCACCGAATCAGTGTTATAGTTTCTAGGGGCGTAGGCCGCAATGACAAACAGGCACCGTTTGTCCCCGCGCGACTTCGAAGCACGGAACGAACCAGCTAATCTAACGGCGCACATCCTACTGTTTACTGGGATCCAATCAAGCAGGGCAGCTTCAGCCCGGGGACTCAAAACAATGCCGACGCCGGCTTGACCGGCATTTGAAGCTGCATCATCGCCAGATAGGCGCAATGAGAATGTGCCGCCAGTGTCGCATGTGGGGGATCTCAGGGTAAGCACGGAGCTCGAATCTTGCAGGCGGGTTTCTGATAAACAGCAAATATCGATCGATAGGGTCTCTAGTGTGCGGGCAAGTGCTGCCTGTTGGCCAATCTGCAGCAAAGTGCGCACGTTGAGGCATGCCAATCTTAGCAAGACACGAGGACTCCAAAGGGAAACGGATGAACTGACGTTGTCCGCTTGGTTAAACATGGACTTATCGACTGGATTGGAGCGAGGCCCTGCGATTGTGTGTGATTTGAAATTAGAAGACAAGCGACTATTGAAGTAAGCTGGGGGAGGGCCAAGAATTGGGGGATTGAAAATGGGGGGATATAAGTAAAGTTGGAGCGGGACAATAAGGATGCAGAAGCGCAAGAAGGGGTATAAGAAGACGGGAAGGCCTGAGCAGTAGCATCCAAACCCCTATCCACCCTGCTCGATGCAGCAGATAGGGCGCCGTTTATTATCCTCTGCGACGGCCAGAGCATCAAGAAATTGTTGTAGGAAAGGTTCATTGTATTGCGTGGGCAGAATACTGTCAGGTTGCCCAGGCCTAGACAGGAGAACGATTAGGGTTCTCAACCAAAGCCTTTGGTTCAAAAACCTTACCGCAAGGCAGCAGGTTTTGGCACTGGACTACAGAGCCCGTTTTATGAAATGAGGAGCCACCCCCATTCCAACCCCCAACCTGGAGGACCAGGAGGCTGAGTTTGTCTGGCCTCTAACCATTGACCAATCTGGTATGAGTGGCTCTAAAGGTGCAAAACAAAGCACCACCCAGCATAGCTCAATGGATCTCTGAGGCACGCAAACCATCGCACCACGGTAAGGTCCAGCCTCATTGCGATGGAGAGGTCAAGCAATGACTTGGTCGAGAGAAAGGAAAACCCTCACTTCGAAGTTGGCGTCGGTTGGCGTATCTCGACTGCCTGGCTTGGGTCTTAAGGATGATGAACAAGTTTGGCTGGACACACTTACTAATATGGCTAGGAGCCGGCCCCAATGGTGTTTATGTTGTGAGTTCCTTTGTCCAACCCCTCCTGTTTATCCTCCCCTCCAATGACGATCTCATTCGTTAGACATAATATAACTCTCTTTTTGCGACACGAAAGCCGGCTGCTAGCTCTCCGGAACGATGTGCACCTGTTATTGGGGATTCAGCCGGCGTGCCTCTGTTGATTTTTCTTGTCTCTTGTATTGCGGCACAATAGCTGATGTGTTTTCCACCTGCAGCTAACGTGTATAAGAATGGTGATGAAATGGCCGCCTTGACCACGCATCTAGCCTATCAATCATGAGCCGCTTGCTGGTGAATACTAAGTCTGGCACCGACAGCTTATTCACTGATCTGCGCCTGGTGGGAACGGTGACGTATTAGGTAAGGGTGCGCTACAGAGGAGTATGGGGAATGTAATGTCCACCACCGGCTGTTGGAATATCCAGATCGTGGAGGTTGAAACTTCCTGTAATGAGAATATGGTTATACTTTCGATTCATCATAAAACACAAGGCTGACCGAATCGGTAAACTAAGCACACAAACGTCTCCGTCCTTCAGCCATAGTCGACACGAAAGGAAATCAGTGACATGCATCTGTGGATCGCCTTTGAATTCATGTCGAAGACACGAGATTTGTAGCAGATGATTACTAAACTCCCATTTTCGCTCCGTCGTTCCAGAGGAGCGACACACCACGTAGTGATCTCACAGCTAAACCACGTTTCGGCGATTATTATATCTTGCGCCTCTGAAGCTTGAGGTCGAGTTCGGCTAACTTACTAGTAAGGCCTTGTACGTTGGTGTACAGATTCTCGGTAGTTATGAGCGAGCCAGTGGATGCTGAATTAAGAGTGGCGATTGTGCCGATCCCTGAGTGGTCGGCCGGTGGCCGTTTTTCGGGGAATCGCTGGTCTTGAGATCCGATCGAATTATATTATTGAGCGAGCACTTCAGGCAGTGGTGGTCATCGATATTTTGATGTTACCTATCGGATGTTACGGTTATCGTTAGATTGGTACCTCCGCACAACTGTATGAGGGAAGGTTCGCTGAGTTGACCGTCCCTAGTGAATAGCAGCATACCTGCTGCTTTCAACCGAATTTATGTAGGCACTTTTGTGGAATTTAACCGTTTTTCAAAGCGACAATGTCATTGACTCAAACGTAAATACCAACTTCATCAGCCTGAGACTACTCCCCTAATGGTTGGATGAAACTAAAATTCTCGTCAATCGTCTGGCAATGTTACTGTCGAGGACTACGCTGAGGTAGCATCATTGTGGTGTTCGAAAAGTTCACGAGGCCCTTGCGCTTCTTGAAACAAAGAAATTCGACTCTACTAGGACCAAGATACTAGCTTTAAGATTTGGTGTCTTGCCAGAAAGTGCACAAAGACCCATCCTTCGTGGCACTAAACAGCAAAGTAGGTTGCCAAGATTCTAAGACTGGTAGGAAATTCCTAGGGAGGCATGTTCTTTGAGATATACCCGCCATAATGAACCCAATAAGACAACTTCGGTTAAATGGAAAGAAGTTGTTTTCACTATCGCATTGCTGCTCAGCAATGTTCCTTTAGATGAGACGGTAGATTAACTGTGTGATGCTATTCGATTCCACCAACTCGATGCCGGTCCTTAGAACGGTTTAAAAAGTTATATCTGATGGGCACGAGTAACGGGGTGCAGTAGCAAGGGACACTACTGACGATGTTAATGACTAAGTTAGAGATATCGACGGCTACAGCTGTCGCAAACGCTATTTGGACGATATATTTTATATCGTAGATAGACTCCGTTTCAGGGAGGAAATATCGGCTCATTTTAATAGCATATGACAAGTTAAGATTCGCCTTAGAAGCTGAGCGCAATGACACATATCACACTTAGACGTCTAGATTAGGAGATCGAAGGGCTGTTACACAGGAGAGTCCGAAGAAAGTAACATGGAAAAGACAACAAACTCTTATCGGATGCCCGGTTGGAAGAATAATAAAAAATATTCAACGAGGATATGCTCCCGGAGGAGTTAAACTTCATACAGCGCCATTCGAGAGAAATCACCAGAGAAGTTGATTTCACGGGGAAAGAAACCGATCCAACCATCAGTGCCCTTCAAGTGGGACAGAAGACCGGGATGGATATCCGGGGGGCTTGCCGATGTCGTCGACCAAGTCTGCCATGCAGCGATCTTATGGCCAAGTCTTAGTTGAGCACCAATTGTGAATCATTAGCTTAAGGTATCCAGGTAAAGCACAACTTTCTGTGAGCAGTCTCCTTGTTTGTGTCGAGCGAGGTATACTGACAGAAAAGCGGAGTAACTAATACAGCGACACATTGTATCGGGACATATGACAGACCAACTAGCGAAGTAAGGTGCACGAGATGTTCCAACCAATTTACCACCATGGGATGTTGTTTACTGGTAACAGACGAAAAGATTGGTGACCGAATCAGATCCAGCCATTTGTGCACAGTAACATTTGTTCATATGCCGAGCGTATTCTGATCCCACCCCATCATGCGGATCATAAAACATGTATACCAATGACCGCCTCGATAGCAAGTATCTAGGTTGTTATTACACACGATTTATGCCGTTGACCCAGTCAAAGTATCTTGTGGTGTACTAGCCTGATGACGAGCCGTTGACAAGGACCTTGTCCGCCAACCCTTAGTTTCGACGTACTCACCTGGGATATTCGTTATATACCAGATACGCATGGGAGGAAACTCGATAGAGGGAACATAAAGAGACACGACCGCCGTATTCTTACAGTTATGACCATCTCTAACACGGCGTCACCAAGCCTCATAGCAGCGCTACAATTGATTGTGGCTGAATTGTCTGATCACCTGTTATTGGGCCTTTCTGAAATGTAATCGTTAGATTGCGCGTGGTCAGAATGCCATAAAGAGGGAATTGTGTCCAAGGTTGTAGCGATAATGAAAACAAGAACAATAAAAAGTACAATGGAAAAAGGAACGTCCTCGAAGCTGGATAGACACACAATTAGGGTATCATAAATAGAGTACTTTTATTCAAACCCCGGGATATGATACATATGGAATAAAACGTGCAACGATTGAGCGCAAACCGGAGGCGCTCACCAGGCATGTGACAAAAGAGGATGCGAAACGTGACAGTTAAGCGCGAGTGTGAAGTGGGTCTGTGAATCCGCGAATAAATTTCTGGCAGTGTCAACGAAGGAGTGATGGAGGAGCAAAACGCAATCGCGATCAGCCAGTTAGGGAGGTGAGAAAAAGGCGGCCGCCAGTTTCTGAGAGAGAGAAGGAATAAGCAAAGAATTAAGGCAAGCAAGAGTAGATCGACGGGTAGTGGTCAGGTGATTAGCCCGAAACTGATACCACAACGATCGCAAAGCCGTGCAATACGTTCCCAAACCATGGGGGTCACTCGATAGATGATGGAAAAGCAACACAGTGGTTGAAATGAGAAAATTTCCCACTGGCTTCCTGCCAATTAAGATAACGCTTTATGTGGTGGTCGCGACGGAAAAGCTAACGCTCAAAGTTTGCGAACTCGATGAGCTTGTAAAAGGTCTCTTTATGAAGGAAAGAGTAAAATAACTTATTACAGTTCAGTTCAGTTGAACAACTATGATGTATATGTATGTATGTAATCTCAACAGTCTAGTAACTAGACATAGAGCCAAGAAAACCATGGAAATCAGTGTATAAGAGATAGTCATTGCGTCATAATCGTCATGGCATGCTAGCTGAAGGTGGGCAACGCACTTCAGCTAATATGCCGCAAGAAAATGGAATATTTTGACAAAAATACAGAACAAAACATTTTTAGTTTGTTTGTCACACGCCGGTTTTTCTCTTTTTTGTCATTTTCAATTTTTGTAGAATTAAACATGTGAATCAACACAACACTGTACACAATTCTTCCATTGATTCCGGTTGCGGGCCATGTCTTCAAGTGTCCTAAGCCATTGGCACTCGCCATCTTTGGGTCCCCATCCTGGAAGACGTACGGGTCCAACAGCGGCTAGACACAACGTCAGCGATTTCATGTGCTGCCGCCAAGTGGAAGGCTGACCACCACGCGGTCGCTTCCAGCCAGGTCCTTGACGAGCGAATAGAGCACGACGCGGTAGGCGCTCAGGTGCCATGCGTAGGACATGACCGAGCCATCTTAACTGGCGCAACAAAACCAGTTTGTTGAAGGAAATACTTGCATTCCCCAAGACGCGACGTCGAACGTCATTACTGGTAACTCGATGTTGCCACCGAACACGAGCGATCCTCCTTAAGCAACCGTTATCGAACGCAGAAAGACGACGCATATCTTCCACGCGAATCGGCCAGGACTCGCTCCCGTACAACAATACTGAGCGAACGGACGCGCTGTAAACTCGGCCCTTTAGTGAGAATGAGACGTCGCGACGACGCCACAAGTGCCTCAGATTGACAAATGCTGATCGAGCTTTAGCGATACGAAGCGAAACTTCTTTGTTGATTGTGCCGTCAGCGGAAACACAGCTCCCAAGGTAGACGAAACTATCTACCTGTTCAAGTTGTGCACCTTGGAGAGTGAGCACGGGTGCAGGTGAAAGCCAATCCTTGAGCAGTACTTTACACTTCGATGGGGCGAAGCTCATGCCATACTTAGATGCTTCAACCGCCAAACGATCCAGAATGAGTTGCATACCCTGAGGATCGTCACCAAGTAAGGCGATATCATCAGCATAATCTAAGTCGGTCGCGCGCTCACCCGGTAGAAGCTCTAGGCCAAAATGTTGGAAACCTTCTAGGGCATTCGACAGAACGTCTTCGATTGCGAAGTTGAAGAGGAATGGGGACATAGGGCAGCCCTGTCGCACACCGCTATTGACAGTGAATTGCGAGGAAAGCTTGCCATAGACCCTCACTCTGCCGGATGTGTGAAGGTAAAGTGCTCGTAAGATGGCGATATATTTCTCTGGCACCCCGTTCTTTAGTAAGCAACGCCATAAAGCAGGTCGATCAACGGAGTCAAAAGCGGCACGTATGTCTAGGAATGCAACGATAGTGGGCCTGTGATAAATGTGGCGATGTTCAAGGAGTTGGCGGAGCGTGAAGATTTGATCCACGCATCCGCGGCCAGGACGGAAACCAGCTTGTTCTTCACGGTAGTACGATTCACGTACTGGGGATAGTCTACGAAGCAGAATGGATGCCAACAGCTTAGAGGCAACCGAAATAAGACTAATCCCGCGATGATTTGCACATGAAGTGCGAGCGCCTTTCTTGAAAATTGGGACAATAACTGATTCGCCCCAAGAGGGAGGCACTCTCTCTTCATGCCAAATTTTTGCGAACAGCGCGGTTAGCTGGTTAATGACTGCCACACCGCCATACTTGAATAGCTCCGGAGGAAGTCCGTCTAAGCCGGCAGCCTTGAAGCGCTTCAAGCGTCGAATCTCGAGGCAGACTTCCGCTTCGCTGGGTGGATTCAATGGGACTAGCCAAGGTGGACCGCAAGGTGTACTGCATGTACTGATGGATGGTGGAGGCCAGTTGAACTGCGAATGAAAGTGCTCGGCCCAGCGGTCCATACGCCTCTGTTGGTTGGTGATCGGAGACTCATCCACCTCACAAATGACCTCACTGACACCAGGCTTCCTGAGGCCAGTGGACCGAATGAGTTGGAAAAGCCTGCGAGTGTTACCAGAGAGGGCAGCAGTCTCCATCTCTAAAGCACGCTCAGACCACCATGTCTCGCGATCCTTGCGGAGGCTTTGCTTAAGCAGCCGGTTGGTAGAACGGCGCCGCTCGTTGCAATCTGATTCCGCGGAGATATCTTTGCGGCGTTCGAACAGCTCCAGAGAACGAGCAGAGATCCAAGGCTTCAAGGGGCGTCGAGTTAGGCCGCAGCACGACTGTCCGGAAATGGTCAGCGCTTTCCGTATACAAGTCCAGTGTTGTTCCACTTCTCGCGGTGGATTGCAACTGAGTGCATATGCCAGTGAAGACTGATAGCTCTCCTGGACAGAGGAATCAGTTAATCTGTTTACATCAATCTTGCGGTGCTTCGTGTTTCGGGATCCTCCAAAACACATACAGATTTTCGCGCAGACCAGAGCATGATCTGAATCAACGAAAGTGGACCAAAAGGACCTGCAGTCCAGTACGCTGCCGCGCCATCTGAAGCTAATCGCAATGTGATCAATTTGAGACCAAGGTTGTGTTGGCGAAGGGGGACGCCAAGTTGCGGAACGCTTCTTCGTACGCCTGAAGCTAGTGCTCGAGAGAAACAGACGGTTGTCCTCGCACAATGTGAGAAGTCTCTCTCCGTTATCAGAGCGGTTCTCATCGAGCGCGTGATGACCACCAAGGTGGCGTTCGTATGGTAACAGGCGGCCAACCCGTGCATTAAAATCCCCAGCAAGGATAACGACATCCGACTTTTTAGCATTAGTCAAGAGCTGTTGTAGATCTCGGTAGAAATCGTCCTTGACCGAGTCGCTACTGCAGTCAGTTGGAGCGTATACAGAGATCACAAACAAGTTGCGTCTCTCTTCGCGCTGCCTGTTGATTCTACATGAACCCCGAAGCCGAACTGCACATAGTCGGCTGTTAATCGGGAACCAGTCCAGTAGTGCCGCCTCGGCCTTGCCACTCAGTGCTATACCTACACCAGCCAAACCCGCTGAGCTTGCTTCTGGATCTCCAGAAAGACGCAGGTGATATCTGGCTTCGTGGTCAGTGGGGGATGTCAATGTAAGCACAGTGCTGGGATCTTGCAATCGGGTTTCTGAAAGACAGCAGACATCAATGTCTAGGGAATCTAGGGTGCGCGCTAGACCGGCTTGCTGTCCAATCTGCATGAGTGTCCGGACATTGAAGCACGCTAGACGGAACGAGGATTGGGGACGAAGGAGAGCCATAGGTTGAATTCCTTGATCTGCGGAGCAACCGGAATCGCAGCCAGATTGTTGAACAGATGAATCGGGTAACCGAAAGTGAGGATTGTTAGCAAACAAACAATTGGCGTGTGATGGAGTAGCGTGAAAGTGAGTAGCAGGAATAGTAGCTGAGGAGCGCGTTGTGGTACAGTCCATGGTTTTGTGAGAGGGCGTGATACTACCCGGTTGCCCAAGCCGAAGTAGGGAGTTGACTTAAGGGACTCCACCCCGAGCCTTTGGCTAAATAACCTACCCGCAAGGCAGCGGGGCGAATTTAGGGAATCGCGCCCATTGGGAGGCGTTGACTGAATGATCAGCTCATGCGCCTTTGTTTGGTAGATTACCAAACAGGGGCCCAATACTCCCCATGAAGTCAGCACAATTGCTGGAATACAATGCCCCACAGAGGTGGAACATTGTCGCCGAACACTTTGCTGGAACGGGGTACACCCGAACCACCCAGCTGGCACCACGGGGAGGTAGTTCGGCAAGCCAGCATAAACAACTATGATCCGGCTACCGAAGTGCAGTGGACCCAGATGTGACGACCCATGTCGCTGGAATAACAATAAAAGCGGCGTCGAATGCAAACAGCAGACAAAAAAAATGGAATCAAGTCAGTAGTGCGTTAAACGAATCGGGATGGAATGAATGTCAACAACCGTATGCAAGAAAGTTGAGACGCCAGGTGACCGCGCCAGGTCTGATAGGGTCTTCAACCACTGGTGTGGACAATCACAGAGCCCTATCCACGAAGACGATATGCAGCAGACCGGCCAAATCAATTGATCAGTTTCTTCATACTTTTATGCCACGTTATCGATTAGCCACCTCATGGTTCTGTCCAACTTGTGGCAGGCATTAATGATGTAATGTCAGCACGTTAGCGGATTCACTTCATCACATACATCAGTCAGCATGGGTACATTTGAAATAGTATCACAGGCACCAGAGAACAATCGTAGAGAGATGTTCGGCGTCCTGACGTAAGCTTGCGCACTGGTGTGGTTGTGTCAAGCCTAAAACCCGATGATGCCTAGAAAACGCCACTAGAATTGAAGGAATTGCATAGTGGAGCAGCTGTTGCCCGAATTTATGCGCATAATACAAGATCTCAACAGCCACAAAGATTAGATAATGTCTCCATAGATAGCTTGTAACTGGGAAGGGGGACAGGAATGTGGACCTATAACCTTCCACCGATGATTATTCACAAAATGGCCAGGTGCACTAATCGTCCCATGATTGCAGAGTCAGCCTATGATATAACGACAACTAGAAGTGATTTACCGTTGTCAACGCCAGTAGGAATTTCACAGCGTCAAACTGTGTCGATACGACGAATGCTGTGCTCACCATGGATCTATTTGAGGCCAATAAGTGAGGGTTAACATGTGCATCACTTTGGAGAGCGTGTGAGCGGCATAACTGAACTTATAAATAAGTACTAGTCTAGTGAAAGATGCTGTCAAAAAAGAGATGATGCCAATTTGGAGAGCAAACAGAGTTAATTCGAATAATGCAGTGGCAAAAAGACTAGAACATGGAAATGGAAAGGTGCTCGTCAGCTCAGTGAGAAGAAAGAGGGTGTCAATAGTGTAACTAATAGCACCGTTCGACTCATCCACACATAAGCTGCCAACACACATTCGTGAGCAGTTGCGGACAAAAAAGGACTGGCCAGTGCGGACCACTTATATCAGGCTGTGTGTGGTAGAGCAAAGGAATAGATAATCATGATGGTCCGAAGCTGCCACCCGTGGCCCAGTGGCATAAGCTGCTGACTGGCGGTTCAAGCCGTTGGTGGTCATGGGTTCGAATCCTGATGGATCCAAGGGATGCGCACTACTGACGATGCTCAACAGGCTGAAACTGCAGTCTAGTGCTTTTCTGGGCATGTGGACGACTATCTGATTTGGAAACTGGTTGCGAAGAACCACATTGAATAGATAATAGTATATCTGTGTGGTAAAACACTCGACGAACAGCGGGCCGGGTGATTTTAGAAACTGAATGAGCCACGGTGTATGAACCGCGTCTTGGAAGCCAACTAAAAAAGGCTTCGACAGTACGACAGCATACCGTACCGACGCTCTGTTTCCACGTGACCGATAACAGTCGCGCGAGAGCTGCGTATACAGTGAGGTCGTACGCACCTATGCGAATTCGAACAGGTGACCTCCGTATTACAGGGCAAACGTGTAATCCTTTCGGCCACCGGCGGACTAAAACATATAGAGGGGATTCGTTGACAGAAAAGGAGCGTAGGAAGAAGCGTTGGTCACCTCGTATACTTGGAATAGCTGTGCAAAGCGACACAAAAGTCAAGACAGAAGAAATAGCCGACATTAAAGATCACCGCGTTCACTGTAAGCCCATAGTGTCCGCACAAACCAGCTTTACCTATCTGGAATATTAATCAAAACTGGCATGAGCATACAAAAAGCTTCTTTTTGTATTAGTTCTTCCGCATACTTGATACGAATCTAGCGGAAAACGGAAACTCCTCATGCGAACAATCAGCCCACCGAAAAAAATTGTGAACAAATCGAAGCATTCGAGAACCGAAGAAATGAAACGGTAAACGAACTGGTAGCATTGACGGAGATTTCACTATGGAATAAACCTTAAGAAATACAATCGAACCTTTGCAAATCTTTGGGGCTACGGGGCTTACGTGAATATAAAGTATTCCATGCACAGCTATAAAGCATGTGGCCTAAAAGAAATTCTGAAAAACATTCGACAAATCAAAAAGCGCTTGTACACTTGTGATAAAACGAAATCAAAATAACTTACAAACTCAGGTAAGTGGCGAAGCTGAGTCGCGTGAAGAATGGCACTCCGGGCCTCCAGGTACTTCGCTGGGTGAATGGTCGGCATTGTCTGATTTTACCGGTGCATCGTACTTATCAGGGCGACGTTCATTAAGGACATTCATGCGAGAAACGAGAGCTTGATAAAGGCGAGTGGCGTGCTTTGGTGAACGCATCACCATCAGGTAGGCGTAGAATTCCGGTGACGAGCGTGAAATGTTATCCCCTGTGCCCTATAAAGCACAAGAATAGTAGGGTTCACATAAAGATGAATAGTAAGAAAAGCGGTGCATAGAGGAACCAACGTTGTACACTTAAAAAAAACGAATAAATGGATGACGCAGTTGCGCTGTGCCAACACTTTGCCGCTACGTGAAGGTTTCGGATACCGCAAAGTCGCCCGCATCCTCGCAGATTCGGACTGGTGAAATTTGGCCACATAAAAATTGCACAAAATGTTGGGCATCATATGCTCTGACACTTTGCATGATCTAAAGGACGTCCAAGATCACTCGAATGATCCTATAATTGATACCCATGGGCTCTTGCAACAGTCATAAAGTATCGGAACCCCCCTACATGGTTCGTGATGTCATGAAATGGCCAGTAAGCGCTGTATGCTCGATAAAGCCGGACATAAAAACGATGACGGGTGAAAGTCATGTGGAATGAAAGGGTCGTGTTAGCAGCGCCAAGGACGTCGGCGGAATTTACCACCGCGAGACGAAAACAAATGTCTACATCGACTTACATTCCTCCACATGGCAACATCTGTTGCGCTACATTGAGATAGTGATGAGGAACCTGTAGTTGCTATGATCATGGTTTTGGAGCATTTAAGAAGTTTCTCCGGAATTGTGATTGGTAACTGTCATGTCCACTGTTTAAAATGCCTGTTGAAAGTTTAGCAAGTCAATTAAGTCTAAACTTATCTACCAGTGTCCCGAAATTCCCCAATGACAGCATCATGCGATGACTCCTACCCCGGTGGAGATCAAATTGAGCACAGTAATACTAAACAGCATGTAAACAAACACGCATACGCACATACGATATATATATATATATATATATATATATGAGAGAAAATAGTTTGAAGAGCAGATATGGAGCCGTCAAAAACATTGGAAATCAAAGGGATGCAGGTATCAGAAAAAAGAACCAAGGCCCATTTCTGTTCGTTTCAAACGTTTAGTTTGTTTCATTTATCATTTGCAATACTGGCAACATTAAACATGTGAATTAAGGTAATTCTGCGTCTAGGTAATCAATTGATAATGACAATCCTCATCTTTGGGTCCCCAACCAAGAAGATATACAGCTCCAACGATGGTTAAGTAGGGCGACGACGATATCATATGCTATCGCCAAGTGGAAGGCTGGCGACCACACGGTCCCCTCTAGCCCAATCCCGCATTATTGAACAGGGTGCAGTGCGGCTAAGGCCTAGGTGACGCGAGTTGAACGTGACCGAGTCACCTTAATTGGCGCAGTAAAACCAGCCTACTGAGGCGAGTACTCTGATTCCCTAGGACGTGATGTCTAACTTCATTATCGTGAACTCGGTGTTGCCACCACAAACGAGCGGTTCTCCCCAAACAACAACTATCGAAAGGCGGAAAGTCGGCGCATGTAATCAACGCGAATTGATCAGGACTCACTTCCATACAACGACGAGCGTACGGAGGTATTGTAAACGAGGCAATTTACGGAGACGGAGACATCTCGACGATGCCACAAGTGCCTTAGATTGACAACCCCCCGACCGAGCTTTGGCGTTACGGAAACTGCTCCTTTTCGATAGTGCCAACAGCAGAAAAACAGCTCTCTAGATACCTGTTGCAGCTGCGCACTCTCAAGGGTGAGTACAGGAACGGGTGTGCGTTAATCATGGACCAATAATCTACACGTCGAAGGACGGAAGCACACACCATACCTAGATACGTCAACTGTCAATATAATGATTGACAGCGTGCCACAACGCATGGGCAAGGGCAATAAAAGAAAAGGAGAACAGGGTTGCCAAACACAACCATTAACGAGTATGATTCTGGGCCACATCTGATAGCATCTTAAAACAAGCGTGTTCGAGGTCCTTAGGTCTAAAACCGGGGAATCGGGAACGCCATACTGCGGCCAGCTGTGACGTTAGTGCCTTGACATCTCGAGTCAAAGTTGTGCTTCGGTCACTTGCTTCTAATCAACACCGGCACCCACAGGGAGCGCAGCGGGACGACCGCTGAGTAGCCATAGGAAACAAGTGGCCGAAGGACCGAGGCATGTGCAGGGAGACAGTACTGTTTAATGGTCGGCAGGATGTCTGGCTTTGAAATTCAACAACGAACATCATCATTAACAGTGTAGAGTTATCATCGGACATCGGCGATGCACCGGAGGTAACAGTGGTTCAAAATAGACAGTGTCTGAATATTGCTCGCGCGAATCGGCCACGTCTCGCAGCCAGAAGGGAGCAGTGCTCGTAACGTTGCGCTGTAGACTCGGCCTATCAATGAGAATATGGGTTCACGCCAGTGCCAGATGTCGGACGTTGGTAAAAGTTTAGCTGTGTAAATTGATTTCATTCGCTAATCCACTCAGACCAATGCAGCTCCCAAGGTAAACGAACCTGCCGACCAATATTGAAGAGTAATCTGAGAAGGCAGGGATAGGAGCAGTTCCCAGTTAGTGCTGCAGAAAAACTTTGCAGTTCAGACGGTCAAAAATCATTGCTGAATGAAACATATCTCCAACATGCTCAGCATGTTCTGGCCAAGCTGTTAAAAGTCACGGATTACGGCGATACCATTAATATAATAACTAGCATTATTAAATCACCCGGGAACAATTTGATGCTATTGAGGTCACAGTTTTCAGGAGCGCTCTCCAAGATTTTATCCATAGCGAAATTTGGCAATCAGGGTGATGCCGAGCAATCCTGTCTTATACTACTGGTGGTGCTGAAGGATCCCTAATGATTACTATGTGTCAGCATTTAGCCTAAAATTGAAGGATAGATCGTTTGGAGGGGAGGTATTCACCTTTAGTAAGCGAATTCAGATAACAGTTATTTCGACTAAGATGTCTAGGAAACAACGACAGTAGGCCGACCGAAAGATCGATGAGTTAACAAATACAGTTCCGATCTGGGGAAGACTCAGTGCCGTTCGCGCACCAAATTGGGTCTCCGTGAAAGCACGGAGCTGAGAACTTTGGACGCCATCCACAGGAAGCTGATCCACCGATAATCAGTGCATACTTTTCGTCACTTATTTTTGAAATAGGAACGATGGTCCTGTAATCTCCAACCAGACTAGACCGCTTCTGTCTTCCGAATCACTTAGAGGAGACAAGTTTACATACGGAGTAGAAAATAGCCTCCGTCTTTGAAGGGAGCTGTAGGCATGGAATTTATAACATATCAGAATGTTAACTTAGCAGGAAACCTCAGCCTCGCAGATGGATGGGTACTTACACACTTTAGAAAATGTAGATCCCAGAATGGGAACTCGAAAGCGGTGATGACCAATTGAACTGCCGTTTAAAGTGCTCCAACAAAAATACAAACCGATGATAAAGATTGTGAATTGGCTCTCCGCTGGTTTCATATAGCAATTCGTTTACAGTTGGTTTCGTAGCATCAGTCGATGGGTCAAGAGAAAAGTTTAAGGAAGCTCCTGGAGGAGACAGATTGTTCTATCTCAACGACGCGTTGCGTCTCCCAGACTACGCGGTCCTACCTGAGAAGCTACATTAAACAGATATTGGTGGCTCTGCGTAATGAGGGGTACCAAACAACAATGTAAATTGTCCGATGGGCTCCAAGAAGTTAGACCGTAAGGAAATCGACCGGTTTGAGATGTGTTTAGGAAATCCGCAGACGACGTTGGCGAGTGTATGCACCCAACGCACCTTGGCGTACGAGAGTGGAAGGCGCTTCAGATTTGAGGCTAATGCGTCCCTAAAGGCGTTAAAAATGTCTGCAGCGACAAGTTTGGCCGCGTCAAGCTGTTTTCTGTGACATTACTAAGAGCTATTAAAGTGGAGAGCAATTCTGTGACCCGAAATGAGAGTAATCCAAATTGACTTGTAGTCCGTTATGCAGCCTCGTCAGCGGTAATTGATGGCTATGTGACCAACCTGCGTAAATTGTCCGGGTGAAAAGCGTCATTAGGTGTCCGCTGGCGCCAACAGCACTGAAAGTTAGAGGATTAAGACGTGATTGTCACAGATCTGTACAAGTTGATCGCTGTTATCTGTCGTGCGGGTACCATAGCACCGGGTTCGTATTCATCAGATTCTGCCTCACCGACCTGTGCGTTTAAGTCCCCGAAAAGCACCACGATAACTGTTCGGAACGGATTACCGAGATCGGAGAGCTGACGAGATAACCCATCTTTAGCTGAGTCCGGGAAGCAACCCGTGGGAGCATACAACGCTAAAACATACAAAGAGCAATTAGCAGCCTTGTGGCTGGGCAGTCAAACGGAGCTTATTAGAGGGATTGTGCAGTCGACTGTTAACTGGCGTCCAGTCAATTAACACTGCGTCTTCGCGCGCACTTAGAGCAGTTCCCGCGCTGACTTGACCCGCGGCCTCAGTAGTCAGGTCTCCGGATAAGCGTAACGTGAATGTGCCACCGGAGCACGCAAGTGATGTCAATTGTAGAAATATTTTAGATTTCCGTAAGCGGGTTGAAGCCAGACAACAGATTTCGATGGTGAGGGCCTCCAGATTGCGGATAACGATGTCTGCGATTAAATGTGTATGAGATTCTGATTACTGGTGGCCAAATTGAATTGAAAACGGGGGGAAGGGAAGTGGAAATGCCACGCTGACGTTATCAGTCAGCACATAGTCGGTCTTAAACCGCTCATCGACACGGCTAGAACTACCATTCGGGATGGTGCGTTGCTGCGGATTCAGGACCAGAGGGGGATAAAGCGGATTGGAGAGTTCAACAAACGAAATAGAGCATGTAGTAGGTAATGCGATGAAACAAAGCTTTGCTAAGCCGAACTCATTCCTCTCAGTCTATGAAAGCGAGGAGAGAGAGAAGGAATAGGCCGATTCGTTTGTCTATACGAGTTATGTGAGCATAAAGCTTCCCGGTTGCCCAAGTAACTGAAGAAAGCTAGCTTAGGGAACGCCATCCGGAGTCCTGGGTAGTAAAAACCTGATCTGCAAGGCAGTGACGCGAGTAACGTACATCGTCAACCGATGGGAGCCGGGTACCAAATCCTGGATAAGTTGGCTTTCGTACACTAACAAAATACTCAGGGCACCAAAAAGCCCGAGTAGAGTAGTATGGAGGTCGGGAAACGTTTCCTGAACCACAGATATGAAGAGCGTTGATAACCGGATGGCTCATACGCATTCATAGTGTTCGAATGACAGGAAGCCGTCGAGGCATGTCATTCACTGTTATGCCTTCACTTTTAGTTGCGGAAGCGGGTGAACAACGATCATTTAACCGATCACATTGGTTCTGACACAGCCCCGTAGGAGCTCTTGCGAAATTAGAAGGAGAATCAAATGACTAGCTTAGAACATCCCATGTTCTTAAACCCTCCTAATGATTGTTCGTGAGTGCTTATTTATCTCGCCTGCTAGACAAAGGAGACTTACAGTTACCTCAACGGGGCATTTACCGATCCGCAATGTGGGGAAGCGCCCAGTAGCGTAAAGTTCCACCACGGCGTGATGTTCTTTGAAGAACATGCCAAAGAACAGTTGCTCCAGTTTCCACTAAGAACTCGACTCCATGTGTCATGAGAAGCGCAACCGGAAATTCGCATTTGAGCTCCAGACAACAAAATAAGCGCATTGAGATAGCTACCAAAATGTCGTTTTTTATAACTTTGCGAAGGTTCTACTGAGTAACTTACTGAGCGCACGGACGACAAGTTGGACCGGACCGATTGTTCACATAAGCACCTCTGGATTCAACGGTACAGTGAGTTGCACTCGGTATATCCTGAGCACTTCCACAGTGCAGAGGAAATGGGAGGACGCTCCACCAATTCACGCCATTTTCGAACAACCCCACGGACTTGTCGATTGATGTAAATGCGCCAGTAACTCTAACATCTCAGGTGATCACATCGCGGAACACGCTACGGTGGACATTGCTAAAAAATGTGGCTCTTCGGAATCTCACTAATTCATGAAGACGGGAACTATTAGTATAACAGTGCATGATTGGCGTGTACTGCTGCAGAGTGATCAGTAGTACTGCACGGATCAGAGATATGGTAAAAGGAGGTTGAATATCTCGAAGGACAAACGAATATCTAGTAGGACAACTAAGCGAATAATGCAGTTTTCAGTCGGTTAAGGTTTGACAACAAAACCGTTGGGTTCGCGAACATCAAACTTTCGAACTTAACTACTCTACGCCCCCTGTGCGCCGTTTTTGGACATCGCACTGGATTAAACGAAGCCACAGTGTGGTTGGTCAATGACATGACAAAACAGTTTGGGGAACTAGATCTAGAGAATTAATCGGACCGATAATACTGACTACTTGTAAGAAGTCTCCGGATAAGTCACATCAATGGTTCGAAATCCTATCAATAATGACGTCGTTGTAAATTCATTAGTATCATTGTATACAGCTTCTTGTTGTAAACTCAACATGTGATATTTTCATCTTTTAACTCTTACGATCTCCCACTAGCCGGAATTGCGCTCAGCAGTTTATTTTTCTGCTACTTATTATTCCACCTTCATCATCGCGGTGGCACAATGTATAACAATTAAAGTAACTACAATTCGGTGCTCAAATCAAGATCAATCCATCGAACTAAGCTGAACCGAGGTGGTAAAACATCACTGATACTGATATTGACGTGCGTTACTGTGTGGACTAAAGAAAACCAGTAAGAAAGTTAGGAGTTCGAATGGAGCTGTCCTCGAAGAAAGGCAAAAATAACAGCCTGTTTCGTTTATCCATTTGGACATGTGCAGTAAACAAGGCGACTATTTTGAAACCGTGAAGATAAAGAAAGCCGAGCTTCGGTGAAACAGACATGGGTGCACGTAGGCTGAGACAAAGACAAGGTGTTAAAGATTGGACAGAAAAGCAAGAAGGACGAAGTACAGCGTCTGTTTGCAAGATGGATGTCCTTTAAGAAGGCGAGTGCATCTCAAGCTCCAGCTTACGGCTTCAAAGATCAGAGTGCTGAGTTATATTGGGCTCCAATCCCTAGATACTCTGTTGGGAGTGCTTCTCAGGGTGCGCGGAAGCACGATCTAACATGGCTCATCAAGTCGTCGAAGTGCGCAAACCATTGCACGACATTCGGATTTTATCACAGTGAAGGCCTAGTTAACGGACGTGTAAGAAAGAAAAATTGTCACAAACACACTGGTAGTTGGTATTAATGCAACAACATGCGGTTGTAAGTATGATGTTTTACTGGGATGCGCAACTCTGAGGAAGAGCGAGGAGCGGAGATCACAAGCCATATGCCCGACGCGGTAGATAACAGCCAGAGACTTATTCGACTACTGTGCGTAGTTGGATAAGAGAAGTAGGCATTCAGCGAAACGCTAAAGAGAAGGCCCGGAATCCATATAGAAGATAAAGTACGCTGCCTTGCTCGTTGGCCAGGGTTGAACCATAATCGGTTAGATTAGAAGTACCAAGTGAACTTCATATCGGACATTCGAGCACATATTCATCCTATACCATTTCTCAATTGATTGCATCCTTAATGTAATGGCATTCATCCCCAGTGCAGCAGTTTGAATCATTAGCGCAACAACTATAATCTTATAGTCACGAAAAATGCATACATGACGCCCTCAGCGAGTCAGCCGTCAGATCGCCTCAAATGGACATCATGTCAGTTCACTAAAGCCCTCTTTGTGAAACCGTTTTGACGCCATCCCCAACGCGCTCGATCAAGTGTCCCGGACATGTGCACTGCTACGTCTGCATTCGTCCGGAAGTGTGCCGACTTCGCCTTGTTGCTCTTTTCTTATTATTCATATTGTTTTCCTATTCAGCCATGATTCCGATGGCACAATATCTGTACCACAGATTGTGTATAATATATAATATAATCTTCACATCCAGGCTTTGGGGTTGGGAGCCCCTTCGTGAGTAAGCATCTGCTTCCACCCACTTATTGTCCGATGCTAGTGCGCATCTAGACGAATAGATGGCTTAGGTGAGCAAACGAGATGTCCGATTGTGGTCAGCGGACAGCTGACTCACTGAAGGTGTTGTGGATGCAATTTTCGTGACTATCGGATTGTGGTTTTGGCGCTAAGGACGCAATCAATTGAGAGATGGTATAGTTGTTAAACAAATGTGAGAAGCGCATTAAGTATGGTGTCGTAATATAAAACAAATAGATCATTGTACAAAAGAAACGGAAACAAATAATATAGTGCCTCGATTTCTTATGCGTCATCGGTGAAGTCGTAAATGGATGAGGCTAGCGTGGAGTAGGGAAGTACCAAGAAACTCACATAATGAACGCCAATGGGCTGGCTCTTGGTCATGTTAACAAGTGTCGCCAACCGGACGTGTTCAACATCCTTCAGATCCGAACTAGGAATTTGGAAGGCGCCAACCAAGCACAAGTTCAGAGCAAAAGTTCTAACCCTTTCTACCAGTCCATCAGTTGACTGCCCCTTCTTTTCTTCCATCCAGACCACAAACGCGAAAACAACACGTGTCGCGGGAGTCGGTACACTGGCGTACATAACACACTGCCCAGCCATCGAAGCCTCAGGAGTGAAATAATGGCAATGAGCAGTCCACTTACCCTTCCGGCAACAAAAACAATACGGTGAACATGCTCGTTGGTACACCACGGTGGTCGAACGCGATTAAGGTATTTGCGTCTATTGATCTGATTGGCCAGATCGTGCAACCGTACAGTAGGGTTGAACGCAAAGAGGCGAGCGTGATATCACGGTGGCGACATAAGTGGCGAAGTTGAGCAAAATCGCCTAAAGTATTTGCTATACGGCTCATGATCACTTCTCCCGCTCCACAAGCGTTAATATAATTACGTAGGTACATTCATCTGATCCCCATCAAGGATTAATATTGGGGTTGGCTCCTATCAACCCTGGGAGAAGGTCTTGCATTTTGAGGATGCAAAACAAAGCCCAAAATGATTGACAGTCAAAACTAACATGTTCAGCGCCGCTTGGCGTGTCTGTAAACGGTTACATAGCAGGGCGTTACAGGAGAATCGAGCAACCTGCACAAGTGAAGTGGCGGTTGTCACCTTACAGTCAGATGTGGTTTAACATGAGTGTGCTACTTCTGAGTTATCTGCATAGTAAAGTGAATTGTGAGGTGAAGCAGTGAAACCTGTAAGAAGGCGATTCCGCTTTATCCTCACATGATAGCCAACTGACCGTAAATGCTCAGTGTTCCTGAGCACCATAGGGTTAATTTTGTTGACTGCATTTAAATTACACATTCGATCACAGTTCACTCATCACCTTATTCTGTGTCAGGGGGACCATCACTTTTAGTTTATAGTTTCAGAATAGTAAAAAGTTAGTAAAACATACTGGTGTACTCCTGTTTGTAGACCAATCGCAGGCCTATATCGCGGGATCCACGGCATAGTGGCTCAGGTGTTTAGCATGCAACCTCTAGATCCAGGATCGAGTCATCGCTCCTGCATGAGTTGGGGTGTCGTTGCAGTATCTCAGTCGGTGTGCGGCTGTTTTCGGTTGTATACTAATGAAACAGTGATACCGAAGGCTGGCGTAAAGCTAAACCCAGATTTTTTCGCGGACTGAGAAGTGCGATTTACTTAGGCCAAACAGGCCAGGTTGATCCCAATGTCGTCCAAAGTCGATAAAGTCATTAATATTCCGAAGCCAACAGGCATAAAGAGTAACACTTGACAAAATATAGGGAGCAGCAGTCGGTATAAAACTTAGTGGAATTGTATACTTGCCGTATCGGAGTGGCAAAGAATCCAATGGCAAAACGAATTTTATGTACAAAGCAAAAATTTTAACATAGAAAGCAATAACAGGGACCTACCTGGTTTTCACATGTGCTGAGAGATTCATCTACATTGCTGTAGCAGAGAGTAGTCAGTCTGATGGAACGCTCGTCAGCCATATTCACCTTCATTCCAGACCAGATGGGAGTGTTGGCTAATAGCTTCAGGGTCTTACACACGCGAGCCACTAGACGTGAACGGGTGGGGGGACCGGTTTGGACTCGCGTGGTGTCGGTGGAAGTTGCCGCCGGAATGTCATTCAAGTGCAAGTATGCCTGACCACGTTCAGTCCAAGCTTGCTTTTGGCGGTCGAAGCAATAAAACTGACAATATGTTTTTAGGACTGTACATTCACCCTCTTCTCCGGTAATAGCCACTGACTGTGGTAGTTCTGTGAGAGAAAGAGAAGTCTTTTCTTGCATTTCCGCAACGACAGCATTGGCTGAATTAGTTAAAGTAAGTTCGCAAGGCGGCTCAGTAATATGATCAGAGTCCTCGGCATCACTTTCCCCGGACATCTTCGCGACTGGTTTGCCCTCCGAATGACGATAGGAATGCGATGTATCAGAGCCTGAAGCATGAGTGGCAGTCGCACGTTCGGCAACATTACGACCGAAGACGAAATCAGGACAATGGGTGCCAACACTGCTCGGTGGTAAATTGCTCAAGAACGGCTGTTCGTTACCCAATTCAAAATGATTAGATACACTAGGTCGATTTTCTGTCAAGACGTTCACAGAGGGACAACTACCTTTGGGGGTGGAGATTTCATCGTCTTTTAAACGTTTGACAACGGTGTCTAATGCCGACTGACGAAAGTGCACTCCACTGCTGCTAGCTGAAAACGAATGACTCGTAGATGCACCACATATAACTGAAGATGCTGAGCTCAAAACCGAAGGACGAAAGATATTCGTTTTATGAACCTTACTGGTGGCGTGTGGTTCCGCTTCGCTTGTTGATGACTTGTTTATGAAAGTAGGCTGGGGATAATCGGCAACCGACGAATTGGCGGTTATGAACACTTTTTCTGGTCGTTCAGATGGACTATCCGTGTGGCGCTTGTGACTAGCGACGGTGTATTTTACCTCTGGATCAAAACTGGCCTCTTCTTTTGCTTTGCGTTTGCGCTCGCTGATAGCCCGGAAAATTTTGGAAGCTGATTCATCAGGTGGAAAGATAAGCAAGTAGCTTTTGATGTGTTCGCCATCCAAACTCACTGCACCAATTCGAAGACTTTTAGGATCGACCAAAGCCAAAGGCATATCGGCCCAAATTGCCGTATTAATCATTAGTTTCTGAGTAGAAGTCAGGCGCACGACAACGCGTGATCGATAAGATCCAGTTGAACCGACGCTACCATTTTCTTCAAAGTTGTCATTCAAATGAAAGTGACAGGCACCCAGTGCGTTCCATTTTTGCTTTCCAATATCGAAGACGTAGGCCCTACAATGCTGTCGGAAAATCTGTTGCTCTCCCTCCTCACCAGTAATGAGTTCCACCGGATCGAGGTTTAACGCAGCCTGCTTTTGATCCTCCATGACCTTACTAGCTGAGTCAACCAATGTTTCGGATGCACTATCAGTGGAGTTTGAAGATACGGCCTTTGCTAGAGTAACAAATACAGAGGCGGAACTGTTGACTGGATCACAAGAAGCGACACGAAAGATGGAGGAAGCACCTTCGGAGATATTGGCGTTTACAACGCGTGAGGAAATATTTGATCCGAAAACGTAGTCCGAAGGTATGCTTTGATGACTGTGAGAAGTAGCAGGTGCACTGGCAGCGCTGCTCGGAGGTAAGGATGAAACTGCGGATGATGCCGGGGGGATTGATGCAGAGGCCTGAACTCCATTAGCTGGAAATACCGGCTTACATGACGGGTTCAAGACTGAAGGCCGGAAAAGTGATTCAGTGGGGGGAGAGACCGAAAGTGGGCTGGATCCACGAGACCTTTCATCCATTGTGCTAGGTGCAATGTCATTGAATAGAGGTGGTGAAAGAAAAAAGCAACAAATTAGTAGGTTAAAATGTTGAAAAAATATAGGTCAATGAAAAGGTCATGAAAGGTTTCTGGGAATATCGATATCATTTGTGGCACAGGGTAGTAAAAATACCATGGATGATAGAAAAAGAAGCTCCTGTACGACAGAGTAATGGAGACTTCAGAACGTCCTAAAGAATGTTGGTCGGTAAAATATAAAACGAATCATCGTAATCAGTACACACGTTGACTAGATAAGAGAAACACCTCAGCTATCGTGCCGCAATACAAACTAAATAGATGTCAGTAGAAAAAAGGAGAATGAAAAAAAGAAAAGAAAAATGAAACAAAAAGTAACTTAAGCGCGGAGACTGAAATCGTGTTTGTAGTAGAGGATGGGTGGGTGGAGGACAGACAAAGGAACTCACAACACAAACGTCATTGAGGTCGGCGGAACGCCATTTCAACAAGTGTATCCAAAAAGGTGTTCATCATCTTTGGGACCCCAATTCGGCAGTCGTGAGGCTCCAAATTCGAAGTGAGGGCTTTCATTCCTCTTGATCAAGTCATCAATTGCTCCCATACTACGAATGCGGGAGTCTGTGCTATCATGCATAACACATAGCACAACTATCGAAGTCGGGTGAGTGAAACAATGGTACTGAGCGGTTCACTTACTCTTCCTGCGCGATAAGCAAGAAGCCGAGTACGCTCATTCCTCATCCAGTGTTCTCGCACATATGAGCCACGCTGCGAAGGCACCGTTGGCCACGTTTTGGACGGCGCAGTAAGTTTAAACGGACGACTGCACTGTAAACTCTGCTATTCAAAGCGAGAATGGTGTCTCGCCGGCGCCACAAGTGCCGAAGATTGGCAAAAGCGCCTCGAACCTTTGCTACACGGTTTGTGACCTCATCTTCGATCCCACGGACGCTGATACAGATGCCCAGGTAGTTTAATTTTTGAACGACTTCCAGCCCATCACCATTAATAGGCAGCACAGGAGACGGTGCAAAGTAAAGCTTGAAACGTCTGGCAGCTGTTGCTAAGCTATTCAATGCTGCTTCGCACGTTTGTGAAGTGTAACAGATGAGGGCAATATCGTCGGTATACTGCAAGCTAAGAAGTGGATCACTTGAAAACAACTTCACGTCTTCTAAATCGTGTCCAATGAACGAAGTTTCCGTAATTTTGTCAGCAGTGCAGATCAATGGAAAGATGACCGCCTCATCCCTGTCTCACACTACGAGATATCAAAGAGCTGCGAAAACTTGCCATAAGCCCTCACTATGCCAGAGTTACACGGTTGAAGCGCTCCGAAACGTCAACAGTACACCGTCCCACCGTACAGATACTTCGCTACTACGCGATCATCATAAGTCACGCGCAGGTTGGGTATATCGTTAGGTCTTCCGCAACTACCCAGATTCTAATCGGTGACCGTCGAATTATATGGCAAACGTGTAATCCTTCCGGCCACCAGTCGAGAAGCCGAAGGCACCTAGGTATTTCTCAGGTACACCTTCCTGACCGAACAGTCTCAATAGGCACATCGATCTACTGAATCGAAGGCATCTTTGATGTCGAGGAACATGAGTACGGTGGGTCGTCAATATATGTGAAGGTGCTACAGAAACTGACGGAAAACAAAGGTGTGGTCAACGCAGCCTCGATTTCGACGAAATCCGGCATGTCCTTCCCGAATCTAGCTCTCATGGACGCAAGTCAATCCGTGAAGGACGACAGAGGCAAGTAACTCAGACTGATTCTATTATAACTGCCGCAATCCGAAGGTGACCCCGCCAAGAAGATTGGGACAATAACGGAGTTCCCCCATCGGTTGGAACTGTTTCCGGCTCACAATGCTTCACTAATGAATCGTGGAATTCATCCACGAGAGCATGTCCCCCAAATATGAAGACAGATGGAGGAAATCCATAGGGTCCTACAACGTTATTCAACTTCAGCAGTCCAATCGCACGTTAGGTATCTGCGCGAGAAGGTGGATCCAAAGGGATGGCACATGAGGTAGGGGGATTAGTGTCCGGTGATAAAGCTGGCAGTTTAGACCGACTAAATTGCTCAGCTCAACACTCCAAGCATTTTGATAGACTGCGGATAGGCTATCCACTATCGTTGCGTAGAGCCCAAATGTTCAGGTTGGCAATCATATTGTCACACGGACAGAACTGCTCTAATATGGTCTGGTGAAGATGCGACCAGTGACCCTCAATGAGTGCTAACTCAGTCCGCATGTCATCGTAATTTGGTAAGTATTCAAAACCTCTGGCTTCGCCAATTGGCCGATGTCTATGAGCTCAAGACGTCATCACGGGCGTCCACCCGCAGAACAGCACATACTGGTGCACAGTCAGAGTCTACAGTCGTGTTAAAAATCAAGCGACAATTTTGGACGCAGCCTCTCCAGCGGTAACTGATCGCATGTGACCGATTTGCGTCCATGGCTAGTGGGCGTCATGTCACTCTCCAGTGGGTGCTGTTTCAGAGGTTAGTGATCGCAAGGAATAGGCGAGTATATTCACACAGGTGCAGTAAGCGTTCATCGCTATCATTTCGGGAGCGTACACTGTTGGCCGACCAGATGGGCAATGTTCCAACTTGGGCGTTCAGATCTTTAGTCAGTACTACTGTATCCGTGGTTCCTATGCGACGAAGCAGCTCGTTCAGTTGTTGATAGAAGTCGTCTGAGTCAGTGCTCTAGTTCGTGGGATGTAGGCAGCAATGTCAAACAGACACCTATTGGTCCCGCACAACTTTGAGGGTTTGTACAAGGCAGTCAATCTGACGGCGCACATCCGCTGTTGAAGGAAATGCAGTCGACCGGAGCGGCTTCAGGCTCAGAGCAAAGAGAAAACACCGCCGGCGTTACATGAAGGAGATGGTAAAGTGAGCAGAGCTGGAACATTGTAGGCGAGTTTCCGGCAAGCAGCAGATGTCGATCGATAGAGTCTCTAGTGTTAAGGCAAGTGCTGCCAGTTGGCCAATTTGTAACAAAGTGCGAACGTTGAGGTATGTCAGTAAGAGAGGTTCAAGGGTTCCAAATAGAAGTGGGTGAACTGACGTTACCCGCTTGGTAAAACATGGACTTGGCGATTGTATCGAAGAGACACTGCGACTGCGTGAGCTAAAACGATAAGGCAAACGCCTAGCATCATCACCTATATCCAGTCGGTTAAATGTAGCAGATAGGGCGCCGTTATTTATCCACTGCAACGACCAGAGAACCAAGAAATTGTGTGAAGAGAAAGCAGTTGTATTGTATCCCAGTTTGCTTACAAACCCCGAGGTTTCGTGTTGGGTGAGTTAGCATATCTTGTCCAATCAATAGCATTTGGCTGGGTGAGAAATCCAAGACTGTGCGGTGTTTCTCTTTGGATTATTTCAACACTTGGTAGTGGTAACAGATCAATGCTGCTTAATTTGCTGCTTATGAATGGTGTTCAACCAGCAGTGTACAATGTGATGAACAACTACTTCGTAAATCGCTTTCATTTCACCCGGTTAAACGGGGAAAATAGTCCACTCGTCGTGATGACTGGGGCGTTATACAGAGGCAACGTTCACTATTTTTCTCTGTAGTTTGAGAAGCTTCATATTCCCCCCAACTTTATTGGATGCAAATACGCTAACGACGTTGTTTTGGGCAGCATCGCTTCCACGGCTCTCCAGGGCTGGTTGGATGATTCACAGCACTGGTCAACGTCCCGATCTATTATTCTTAACGATTCCAAACGCCGTGATGTAACCTTCTCTCTCCTGCGCAATGATAGACTTCTGATTTTGACAAACACTTATCGTGCGATTAGATGGTCTCTAGTCCATCCACTGTTAAGTATTTTGGCGCAACTGTACCTAAAAATACATCAGCAGTAAGCCGGCATACCGTAGCGACGCTTCACTGCCAAGCGACCATCAGTGGTCGCACGTGGGTTGGGTATACCGCGGGGTCGCCAGCACGTATACGGATTCGAACCGGTGACCAGCGGATTACAAGACACACGTGAAATACTTTCGGTAATCGATCGAACTTGTCATGGTCAACACATGTTGAGGTAACGCTCCGCGAGGTAAGAAAATCATCATTTTTATGTTCTGAGACTCAAAATGTGTTCAGTAACCTGCTCCAAAGGCTATAAAATCGTGACTGCTAATATTTTTTCTCACTGGCAGTACAGTTCACCTAATATTTTGCTAGGATTTCTATAAAAAGACTTCCCAATGACTGTGCGTTCCGTTATTCTCATCTGCATGTGTAGTGGATTGTCCAGTCTTCAGTTGACTTCATCGTTACTACACATTTTGGTGCATGCGACTACTTTTCATTAGTTTTAAATGATCCTTTTCACTTCTTGCACGGTGATTTATTAAAGGCTCTCTCATGCTCATCTATGGCACCAAATTAAGGGTTTCGTTTTCACGCACATCGTAGCATAACTCAAACTTACCGTATTTATTACGTTTCTTTGGAGACCCCAAGAAAGTTTTCAGTACCGTGGGCGAGCGTTTAGTTGAATGAGACAAGCGTAGCTTACTTTTCCACTTTTGCTTGCAATTTCTAAGCAATGTAATGCCTCATTGTAACCACAGTGATAGTGTGAAATGTTGAAAATGTTCCCAGTTGGGTGTACAAAGCCTATTTTGAATTGAGCATATTGTGCTTAAATGTATCCCCTCAAGCATTCATGCACTATCATTACATGCCAAGAGCACACTTTCTGGCACTTGCCCGAACACGTTATTCACTCATTGTACACGTTAGCTGCAGGTGGAAAACACCTGTTATTGTGCCGCAATACAAAAGAACAAAAACACGAAACAGATGCACGCCAGCTGAGTCACCAGTAACGGATGGCCGTCGTTCCGGAGAGTTACCAGCCAACTATTGTGCCGCAAAGTAGTTATATTATCTCTAATAGTTGTGATCGTGGTTGCAGGGGGAAGCCAAGCGGGAAGGGGGCAAAGA